CCTCGGATGGGTTCCACGGCGCAAGCGGTGTGGCAGTCCTTGAGCCAAGTGGCTGCGGCAGAGGAGGAACACGAGGGGGATACCCGCGAGGAGTGCGAGCCCCTAAAGAGAGATCATGAGCGATTGAGGCCAGCCACGCGCATCGAACCCCCCCCTGGAAGTCTGCCTAGGGACACGCTCGAAAAAAACGGCAACTCCCGAGGAGAAGGATGGGGGAGGAGAAAGGGAGAGGCCAAGCAGAGGGACGAGGAGGGAGGAGTCAGGGGAGGATGGGGAAAATGATGAGGAGGGGGGCCAGTGTCGGAGTAGAAGGAGGAGGAGGAGGAGGAGGAAGAGAAGTGAAGTGAAGAGGAGTCGGTTACTGCAGTACTAGAACAACGCGCGCTTTTCGCGCGCGCTCAGGTTCTACCGCGCAATCCACGGCGCTGTGATGCAACGCATGTGAAGCAGTGCTGGGCCTCCCATTGTCCTCCCCCATTCTCCTGTCCCGAACCGTCCCGAACGGCCGCCTGATACATGACCCCGAAAACCAACCGGAGGGAGCAAGGGAGAAAGGGAGAGAGAGGGGGAGGGAGGGAGGGAGGAGGGAGGGATCGAGGATCCGAGGGAATCGAAGATTTGGAAGAGGTTCCTTGGGGGCTCTTGGTACAATCTTGAAGCATTCCTTTTGGGTGTCTCTTGGGGGCCTCCAGGAGCTTCTTTCGTATGGGGGGTGTCGTGCGGGCCATTTGGAGGCCGGCTGGTGGTCCCGGCCTCTGGAGGGCCTCTCAGAGGGGGGCCTTCTTGGTTCGTCTTGGGCCCTCTTGGGTGTCTCCTTGGCAGTTTCGGGGCCCTCTTGGGCCGTCTTGAACTGGTGACCCCAAATGAATTAGCTCAAGCGTGTCGGCATAGCCTTGGACGACGACCTGAGCGGGACCTGGGTGGGCGTCCTCCTTCGAATCATCCTCATCATCCGCCTCAGCGTCCACCGTCTCCTCTTTCGGGAATGTGTAGCGGTAAAAGGGAAGGAGGCAGAGTACGGTCTCAGAAATACTCGACGTGATTCTGAGTGGGCATCTACGGTGGAACCGAAACATTGATTATTCGTACCAGCCAGCGCCGGGCAGTCGTGACCCCCCAGATTAGCTCAAGCGTGCCAATTGCGTACTGGGATTCCTCGCAGGGGGCGTCTTAGAGGCAGTTTTAGAGCCTCTTGGGTCTCTTGGGGGCCTCTCTGGTGCCCATGAAGGGCCTCCTGCGGGCCTCGTGGGGCCCATCTTGGGGCCCTCTTAAAAAATCTTGTGGGCTTCTTGGGCCGTTTGAAACGCTTCGTGGGCTGCATGAGACCCCTCGAGATCGTGCTGTCAGATCGCCTTCCGGAAGATTTGGGGCCCCCAAGCGCAGGCCTGGCCCCGGACCCCGTCGGGCGAAGTAGGTTACCGGAGGGGGGGGAGAAGTGTGCTGCCTCTGGGCCTAGAGGGCCAGACGCCGGATATATTACGACGAAAAGCGAAAGAAGGATGAGTAGGAGCGCGGAGGAGGCAGTGGAGAGAGAGGGGGGTGCAGACTGGCCAAACACACCTGCTCGACCGGACCCTCGGCGCCCCGACAGAATGCCCTCCGCGGCTTACAAGTATCTGCGGCTCCCTCAACCTGACCCCCCTCCATCCCTCCTTCCACTTTTCATCACCCGCTCCCCCCTCCGTCCTCCATCCCGCATCCCCTCCCCCACCACCACTCCCCTATCGCTCCTGCCTTGCTCATCTACAACACCCTCCTGCCACTCCTCCCCCTGACCTCCCCTCAACGGGTTCGTCCGTACACAGCACGCTCCACTCCCACCCCATCCCCGCACCCCCTGCCCCCCGTCCACCTCTGCTCGCTCCCCTCCCCTCCTCCTCATCCCTCCCTCATCACCCCTCAGCGCCGGCTCAGACAGCGGCCGTCTGGGTGCTGCGAACTAGCGCCAGGCGGCGCCCCCCCGGACGCTGCCCGTCCTTCCTGCCTTCGGCCCTCCTGCTCCCCTTATCCAGCCGCCGGCTGCCGAACGCGCGCACGTTCGAGCAGCGCAGGCTCTCCTGCGGAGCTCCGCAGACATGCCGCACCGGGGGTGCAGGTGCAGCCCTCGGCGAGGCACTGGCGGCCGCCCCAAGGGCCGATGCGCATGTACGGCAGGCATCTGCTCAGCCGCTGCCTCCTGTTCCTCCGGGCGCGACGGGCGTGTTCCCAGCATGGCCAGCGGCTCCTCCTATAGGACATTCCAGCCTGCCTCTGCCGAGGTCGTTCCACACGGGCGCGGCAGCCAGGAGCCACGACTGACATCCAGAAGGAGGCTCCGATTTTTGTGCCGGCGGTCCAGGCCACGCCATTCCGGGTGCTGCCCGATGCTGCGCCGACCATGCCGCTCCAACGCACTGGCGCCACTGCTGCCGTGCCCGCCGCCGCTGACCTGTCGGGGACGCACTGACCAGGGTCAATGCAAACCCAAGCGGTCTGGATCCTGCAAGATCATGCAGAATCCTGCAAGATCCTGCGCACTGACCCGGGCCCGTGCACCCCTGACTCTGCAGAATCCTGCAAGATCCAGCGCTCTGGCTGACCCCCATTTGCCTTGCCCCCCGTCTCCTACAGCTCGAGCGCCCGCAACAAAGGTCACTCCAGCGAGAGGTGACTCCCACGTGTGGCCGACAACGGCCCGGACTACAGAGCTGGGCCCCCGGGAGAAGGTCTGGACAGATCTGGGGGTCCAGGCTGCAAGAAACACACGGCGGTGGAGGTCTGGGCTTCTGTATTAAACGATTGCTCTCCAGAGGCTACGCTGACCTGGACAAGAACATGGGGCACTGGCGCCACAGCTGCTGGCCGCTGCAGAGCACGGATGCCTGCCGCCCTCGTGGCGCCAGCGCCTGCGCCGCCGCAGAAGCCTGTGCTAAGGCCCTGACGCGGAGGACGGCCCGAAGGATGACGGCGGTCCGGAGCCGAGGGCCGACGCTGAGCCAGTTGCTGCCAGTTCGGAAGATGCCAACAGCGAGGAGGAGGAGGAGGAGGAGGAGGAGGAGGAGGAGAGGGAGGAGGGGGAGGAGGAGGAGGAGGAGGAGGAGGAGGAGGAGGAGGAGGAGGAGGAGGAGGAGACGGAGGAGGGGGAGAAGCGAGGGGACGAAGAGGCCAGCGGCGGCTTTCCGCTAGTTGGCCGAAGCGCGCACAAAGGGGGTCCCATGTATGGCTTTCGGCGATCGTTTTCTGGATGAGTTTCTAAAGGGTCGAGGCTCTGATGGCAAGTAGGCCTGCCAGAATTTCAGATGCTGCAACTGGAGTTGTTGAGTATTCAGCATGTACAACAGATATTGTGCTTGGAACGGTCGCATTTGCCGCGCAATGTCGTCACCTCGTTCGCGCATCGCTGGCCTACGCCTTCAGCCGCCACGACTGCCCTGTGGCGTGTGTGTGTCATGTTGACCTGGTGCCCGATGGAAAGCTGGGCCTCAGGAACAGGTGCTCCTCCTCGGCAACAGGAGTTGCACTGCGATCGTTGCCCTGTCTGACGGGTTACTTTGTCAATTTGGTCATCTGCTCATGCGTTTTAGCGCACGAAGACCGCCTCAATGCCGCATCCAGCCAGCCAGCCAGCCTCTCCCTTCCCCCCCATCCCCACCCCCACCCCTTTTCCTCTCCACCCCTCCCCCCTCCTCCTCCTCGCCACCCCTCCCTCCCCCTCCCTACTTCCCCACCTTCCCCTTCCTCCCCTCCACATCAAGCCTTCCCCGGCCTGGGCTGATGGCTTGCGGGCCATAGTTCGGGCTTCCAGCCGCCGTCCAGGGCGATTCGTACCCGAGAAAGCTCGCGTCGAGGCACAGCAGCTGAAGACATCCCGAGGTCAGAAAATCATCCAGACCAAACGAAGACCTCCCGAAAAACTCCGAAATCACGTCCCGTCTCACATCCTACCATCAAGCTCCCTCCATTCAACCCCTCCTCCTGTTCCCCTCCTCCTCCTCCTCCACCTCCTCCTCCTCATCCGCCTCAGCCTCCGCCTCCGCCTCCGCATCCGCCTCCTCCTCCTCCTTCTCCTCCTCCTTCTATTATTCCTGTTCCTCTGTTTCCTCCGCCTCCTCCTCCTCCTCCTCCTCCTCCTCCTCCTCCTCCTCCTCCTCTTCCTCTTCCTGCTCCTCCTCCTCATCCTCCTCTTCCTCATCCTCCTCCTCTCCCTCCTCCTCTTCTTTGTATTATCATTAGTATTGGCCTGAGTGAGTATCAGTATTATTAGTAATCGTAATACGCTCAGTTTCGTATCATCAACAGTGTTAGTAGCATTAGCATTCGCATTAGTATGCGTATGATTAGTCTGAGTCGCCGTCATATGTTTAGTAGTATGGTTCGACTGTTTATTGATATATCGAAGTCTGAGCATGTGCAGTCGTATTGGTATGAGTACTCTCAGTGCTATGATTTGCAATATTAGTATTAGTAGTATGCGTGTGCTTATTATTATGTTTTCTCGTGATTCGTCGTATTGGTATGAGTAGTGTTAGCATTAGTCTCAGTTGTATTCGTACTAATAACAGTAGGTTCGTCTTATGCGTATTCGTAGTAGTCGTACTCGGTTCAGTTGTCTTCTTATTAGTAGTATGTCCTTCTTAGTTGTACTAGTATTCGTGGTAGTCGTAGTAGCTTCCGTCGTATTAGTATTACTCTTCGTAATATACGTATTCGAATTCGCATTAGTATTCGTATGTTACTGATACTCTAATCATTGTTGTTACTGTCATCATCAGTATTAGGAGTCGCGTTCGTCTTATTCGTCCTCCTCCTCCCCCTTTCTCCTCCTCCTCCTCCTCCTCCTCCTCCTCTTCCTCCTCCTCATCTTCCTCCTTCTCATCCTCTTCCTTCTTCTCCTCATTATCATCGTTGTTGTTTCTGGCTCCGCATCCTCCTCCTCCTCCTCCTCCTCCTCCTCCTCCTCCTCCTCCTCCTCCTCCTCCTCTGCCTCCCCCGCCTCCTCCTTCTCCGTCTCCTCCCCCTCCTCTTGTTCCTGCTCCTCCGCTTCCTCCTCCTCTTCCTCCGCCTCCTCCTCTTTCTGCGAGCGTCGACGCGGCCTGTGCCACGCGCGCATTCTCCCCGATGCACAGGTTAAGCGGGCCATCCGTTTCCCCCATCCCTCCCTTCTCCGTTCCCCCCGTCATCTCCCCTTTCAGCCCTCGCCTCACATCTCCAGATTCCACTTTCGGTGTGTCAAAATGGTGTTCCTGCTACAGCGTGGGTTTCATTCTAAGATCAGCGCCCTGCTCCCGTCGTTCAAAGTATCCCAGCAAAGCTATCTAACAGCGATGTGTAAGAGCATATCTGGAAGCATTCTCCTTAAGATTCAGATGAGAATCCAGTTGTAGAATTCTGCTCGTCTCGCAGTCGCAGTCGCATTCGCGATGACAGTCGCAGTGGCAACGGCAGTCGCAGTCACAGCCTCAGCCTCAGCCTGCCTTAGCCTCAGCCTCAGCCTGCCTCAGCCTCAGCCTGCCTCAGCCTCAGCCTCAGCCTGCTTCAGCCTCAGCATCAGTCTGCCTTCAGCCTCGGCCTCAGCCTCAGCCTGCCTCAGCCTCAGCCTGCATCAGCCTCAGCCTCAGCCTCAGCCTGCCTCAGCATCAGCCTGCCTCAGCCTCAGCCTCAGCCTGCCTCAGCCTCAGCCTCAGCCTGCTTCAGCCTCAGCCTCAGTCTGCCTTCAGCCTCGGCCTCAGCCTCAGCCTGCCTCAGCCTCAGCCTGCCTCAGCCTCAGCCTCAGCCTGCAGCCTCAGCCTCAGCCTGCCTTCAGCCTCAGCCTCAGCCTCAGCCTCAGCCTCAGCCTCAGCCTGCATCAGCCTCAGCCTCAGCCTCAGCCTGCCTCAGCATCAGCCTGCCTCAGCCTCAGCCTCAGCCTCAGCCAGCCTCAGCCTGCTTCAGCCTCAGCCTCAGTCTGCCTTCAGCCTCGGCCTCAGCCTCAGCCTGCCTCAGCCTCAGCCTCAGCCTCAGCCTCAGCCTGCCTCAGCCTGCCTCAGCCTCAGCCTCAGCCTGCCTCAGCCTCAGCCTCAGCCTGCCTGCCTTCAGCCTCAGCCTCAGTCTGCCTTCAGCCTCGGCCTCAGCCTCAGCCTGCCTCAGCCTCAGCCTGCATCAGCCTCAGCCTCAGCCTCAGCCTGCCTCAGCATCAGCCTGCCTCAGCCTCAGCCTCAGCCTGCCTCAGCCTCAGCCTCAGCCTGCTTCAGCCTCAGCCTCAGTCTGCCTTCAGCCTCGGCCTCAGCCTCAGCCTGCCTCAGCCTCAGCCTGGCCTCAGCCCTCAGCCTCAGCATCAGCCTGCCTCAGCCTCAGCCTCAGCCTCAGCCTCAGCCTCAGCCTCAGCCTCAATCTGCATTCAGCCTCGCCTCAGCCTCAGCCTGCCTCAGCCTCAGCCTCAGCCTGCCTCAGCCAGCCTCAGCCTCAGCCTCAGCGCCTCAGCCTCAGCCTCAGCCTCAGCCTGCCTCAGCCTCAGCCTCAGCCTTCAGCCTCAGCCTCAGTCTGCCTTCAGCCTCGGCCTCAGGCCTGCCTCAGCCTCAGCCTGCATCAGCCTCAGCCTCAGCCTGCCTCAGCATCAGCCTGCCTCAGCCTCAGCCTCAGCCTGCCTCAGCCTCAGCCTCAGCCTCAGCCTGCTTCAGCCTCAGCCTCAGTCTGCCTTCAGCCTCGGCCTCAGCCTCAGCCTGCCTCAGCCTCACCTGCATCAGCCTCAGCCTCAGCCTCAGCCTCAGCCTGCCTCAGCCTGCCTCAGCCTCAGCCTGCCTTCAGCCTCAGCCTCAGCCTCTGCCTTCAGCCTCGGCCTCAGCCTGCCTCAGCCTCAGCCTCAGCCTGCCTCAGCCTCAGCAGAGCCTGCCTCAGCATTTCAAAATGTGCCCAGGAATGAAGTTCTGGGAACTCGAAGACCACGAAGTGGCCTACTGTTGGCTCCGCGCATTCAAAATCATGCCCAGGAATGAAGTTCTGGGAACTCGAAGACCACGAAGTGGCCTACTGTTGGCTCCGCGCATTCAAAATCATGCCCAGGAATGAAGTTCTGGGAACTCGAAGACCACGAAGTGGCCTACTGTTGGCTCCGCGCATTCAAAATCATGCCCAGGAATGAAGTTCTGGGAACTCGAAGAACACGAAGTGGCCTACAATTGGCTCCAGGCACTCAAAATCATGCCCAGGAATGGAGTTCTGGGAACTCGAAGACGACGAAATGCGTTACAGTTGGCTAAAAAAGGAGTCCCCGGTTTTCCGCGGCACCCGTCCGGCATCTGCCCAGACCCCCCTGGGGAGCCATGATGCTCTCTTTTGACCCTACTAGAAACCTATCAGTCTTCGCTGTTAGGTAAATTGTGTTTTAGCCCCAACACGGGCCACGATTGTGAATTCGAGTCGTTCTTGGTCGTGATCGTCCCGCTCAATTCCCCTCTCCCACCTCAATCCGACTATCTTGCTCCGCCCGTGTCTCCTACTTCCGTTCCTGCCATATGTTGCTCCTCCTTGCCCTCACATGTAGCATCTTCATCTTCCTCCTGCACATCCGCATGTTCATCTGCCACCTCTCCCTCCTCCCTCCTATCATTAGTTGTTTCTCCTCCTCATCATTACCATTATCCTCATCCTGATCCTCCGCCTGCTGCGCCTCCTCCTCCTCGCGTTCGTCGTCGTATTCGTTTTATGTTAACAGCAATAGCAACAGCAGCAAAAGTAGTAATAGTACTAGTAATAGTAGTAGCCGGAGTAATATGAGTAGTCGTAATAGTAGTAATAGTAGTAGCAGCAGCAGCAGCAAGAGTAGTAGTAGTAGTAGTAGTAGTAGTAGTAGTAGTAGTAGTAGTAGTAGTAGCAGGAGTAGTAGTAGCAGCAGTAGTCGTAGTAGTAGTAGTAGTAGTAGTCGTAGTAGTAGTGGTAGCAGCAGTAGTAGTAGTAGAAGTAGTAGTAGTAGTAGTCGTCTGCGTCTTCTTCTGAGTGTTACTGGCACGTATCTTATTATTCTGATGTTTTACTATCAGGTATAATGGTATCATGCCGTGTCGTAGTACTGTTGTTCGTAATATATATATATATATATATGTATATATACACATATAGATTAGTCTTAGTATTACTAAGGCTAGTAGTATCAGCCTTCTCCGCATGAGTATGATTCTTATTACTAACAGCCTTCGCCGACGTCGCATTAGCATTCGCCTTCGCAGTCTTAGTATGAATATTCGCCTCCTGGTTATTACTAGGATTATTATATTAGCGTTATTAATATTCGCTACTTCGTCTTTTACGTGTTGGTAGTACTATGCGTCTTCATCGTCGCCATCATCCTCATCCGTGCCGTCGCCTTCCTCCTCATCCTCCTCCGCATCAGCATCATCATCATCGTCATCAGCGTCATCATCATCATCATCATCATCATCATCAGCATCAGCATCATCATCATCATCCGCATCAGCATCATCATCATCATCATCATCATCATCATCATCAGCATCATCATCATCATCATCATCATCAGCATCATCATCATCATCAGCGTCATCACCATCAGCATCATTATCAGCACCAGCATCAGCAGAATCCTCTTCAGCGTCAGCATCAGCATCAGCAGCAACATTGTCATGCGCATCATCAGCATCATCAGCAGCATCAATCACCACCAGTAGCAGCAACAGCATCATCATCAGCAACATCACCATCAGCATCAGCAGCAGCAGCATCCGCATGTGCATCAGCTCCAGCATCAGCAGCATCATCCTCATCATCAGCAGCAGCCATCAGCAGCAGCATCATGAGCAGCACAATCACTGGCATCAGCATCAGCATCATTATCGTCAGCGTCAGGATTAGCATGAACATCATTATCATGATCAACAGCATCATCATCCTCATCAGCAGCAGCATCGACATCGTCATCATCAGCATCCTCCTCCTCAGCATCATCATCAGCATCAGCATCAGCATCATCAGCAGCATCATCAACGTTGGCAGCATCAGCATCAGCATCGTCATCATCAGCATCAGCATCAGCATCATAATCATCAGCACCGTCATCATCATCATCATCATCATCATCATCATCAGCATCAGCATCACCATCATCATCATCGGCAGTAGCATCAGCAATTTCATAATCAATATCATCGCATCATCATCAGCATCATAAGCAGCATAATCACCATCAGCATCAACAACATGATCGGCATCAGCATCCTCAGCGGAATCATCATCAGCAGCATCACCATCAGAATCATCAGCAGCAGCACAATCGTCAGCAGCATCAGCATCATCATCATCACCACCACTACATCACCAACACCAGTACCGCCCTCATCACCATCACCATCACCATCGTCATCATCATCATCCTCAGCATCATCATCAGCATCATCACCACCACCATCATCAGCAGCATCGTCATCAGCATCATCATCAGAATCACCCAACCATCACTATCACAGCATCACCATTAGCATCAGCACTATCATCAGCATCATCAGCATCATCATCATCAGCATCATCAGCATCATCATCATCAAAATCAGGATCACCATCCCGCTCCTCCTCCTCCTCCACCAATATACACAGCTCCCCTGTTCCCTGTGGTCATGTGGGCCACAGGTCCGCTATGACACCCGTCGGCGGGTGGCGAAACCAATCAGCGCAGCGGGAAAGGATGAGTGGGACGGTGGGATGTCAGATATGGCGCGGGCGCACCCGTTTTCATCCCTGTACCTACCTTTCCTCCCTCCTCCTCAACCCTCTCCTTATCCCCGACGTCGCTCGTGCCAGCCCTTCCTGGTGCAATACGCCGTAGGCGTTGCGCTCGTCGTTCCCAGCGGTGCGCGTGTCACCGAGGCCTCGGTCGGGGCGGCGGGATAAGCAGGGCGGCCTCGGAGGTTGAAGGACGAGGGGTCCGCTCCTCCTCCTCCTCCTCCTCCTCCTCCACCTCCTCCTCCTCCTCGTCACCCTCTCCCCGCTCCTCCACGACCTCCTCCTCCTCCTCCTCCTCCTCCTCGTCCACCTCTGTGGATAGTCAAATACTCTATCTAGATGTATTTTGTCGACATCGGCGGGGAGCAAACGCTGATCTCGTCCTCCGCCTCTTCTGGCAACGATGGGATCCCAGCAAGTTGGTACCCCTCTTCCAAGGAATACCCCAAAGCGAGTCGATGTAGAAAGCGGGTGACTCGCACCGCCTCCCCGAAAGGTATAGTGATGGGGGCCCTCTGGCGCCAGGGAGCCTCCAGTGTCGGCAGCGCCGCAACCAGCACGGCACGCACAGAGGCAAGGAAGCGAACACGACGCGTTGCCGCAGCTGTGCGTGTGTTCCTATTGCCCCTGGGCGTATTCTTGTTTCTCTGGCGCACGCCCATGGCTCTTGAGCCAAAATGGTTGCGGGAGCCCTCGCTTTCCTGCACCCTTTGCAGAACAGCCTGCGCAGGCTTCCATTCTGAGGTCTGGTCAATCGGCCTCCCAAACACGTGGCACCGGCCAAGGAGAGCCAATTGCAACCGTCTCACAAGATCTGCGAGCGACCTTGTGTAGGCCTGGGCGAAACGGAGTTAAAACTGTTAAGCTCGTTGCGGCCCAATGTAGGCTGGAACGCAAACGGAGTTGAAACTGTTAAGCCACTTGGCGGCCCAACGTAGGAGATAATTTCGGCCACGTTCGAGGGACACCCTTCCCTGCGCAAAAGGGTGCGATGTATTCTTTCCGCCGCCACAAATCGGCGATACCCCATCGACCCAAGGATAGGGCGGTACGCCCAAAAAAAAAAATCATGGGCAGGTACCGAACAAATCAGGTTCGTTATCATGAAAAACGTGCGGCGATGGCGGATACTTCAGGAAAGTGCGAGGGTGCATGGCTGGTTTTCCACACACCCCTCGCCGAGCAGCGCGTTAGAGCATTCAGAAGCTTCGCGGTCATGGCATCAGGGCCGGGGGCAGATCAGGCCCATAAGGCCGCGGGCCTGCTGAAACCTCGCTGGGGCCATGGCCTTCGTGAAGCCGTCGCCCCGGTGCGTCGCCGTTGGCGCGTGCTTGAGGGTCATCGCCCCTCGCTCCACGACAAGCTCATGCAGCAGCCCGATCGACACCTTGTGGGCCCTTTTCCAAGAAACGCAATTTCTTGCTGCAGCCCTTGGCGACCGCGGAAATGGCCTGCGCGTTGTCCACGAGGGCCACCAGCGGGACCTCGATGCCAAGCATGCGCTCGAGGAGCACCTGGGTGGGGATCCCCTCGTGCTTCGTGTTGTGGCTGAGCACGACCGTCTCCGCCTCGGCTGTCGAGCCGGCCGTGAACGTCTGCTTGCGAACGGCCCACGACAACGGCCATCGCCGACCAGAGGATGGGCCGTGGAGCTCCATCAGGACGCCTCCTGTGGACTTCGTGTGCTCTGAATCGCCAGCCCAGTCAGCATCCGATCACATCAAGAGCTCGATGTCGAACAGGTCGTCTGGGGACAGCTCGGCGGCAAGGGCCATAGGGCCAGCGGCCTTCAGGTAGGCATACAGCCGAATCAATGCGGCGGCATGGGTAGTGCTCACCTCGACACCCGTGAACACAGTCGCTGCACGGCGACGGCGATGTCTGGCCGTGCGACGCAAGACAAAAACAGCAATGTTGTCACGTGCGAGGCACAACTGCTGGCGAAAACGCCAGGGAATACACCGTCTTCTGCCCACCGCTTCGGCGAAAGAAACGGCGATGTGACCTTGCGGAGCTCGCCCTGGCACTCGCTGCCGAACCTGTCGATGGCGTTGGCCACGTAATCGCACATGTCCGCGTGGAGTCGGCGCGGAACAGACGGGCACGCAGGGTTGACCCGGTCCAGGGTGTAGCGGGCCCCCAGGTACCTGTCGATCTCCTGCTCAGGCTCCTTGAACAGGATCGCCGTGTCGAGCGCCCTCCAAAATGGTCCGGCGATGCTCGGCGGGGCGACCATGAGCACGTCGTCCACGCACACGACGAATATGCCTCCATCAGGATGCACGTGGACGTCAGGATGGTCGAGGCCAGCGGGCCCCCACCCATGCTGCGTGAGAGTGCCGTGCAGCTTGGCTTCCCAAAGCGCTCCAGCTTAAGGATGACCGTACAAGGCCTTCTTCAGCCGACAGCGCGGCCTGACGCACCTCGGTCTCTGGCTCGCGGCGCCATCCAGGAACCACTCATCTGGCCACCACCCCCGCGGGAGCTCGACGTAGGCGGGGATCCGCGACGGGGCGTCGATCTGCGCCTGCAAGCACGCAGCCCCGGCGCCCCCCAGGCTGACAGCCCAGCCAGCGAGGGCCGCAGCAGCCAGGGCGGCGCGCGCCGCAGAGAATGACGCTGGAGCGCTCGCAACTTCTTCAAGCAAGTCCGCGGCCGAAACGCCGGACTTACTGCGAATGCTAGATCCTTGAAGTACGGCCCTGGCCTTCCATTCCTGGCCATCCTCTCCAAGCCCATCTCCCTCGATTCCAAGAATTGCGAGCACGCGGCCCAACATTGCGTCGAAAAGGGGCGAATCATTCAACAAGCCTCGCAAGCCATGCACATCGCTGGCGCCCCAGACCTGCTCAGGGCGCATCCCGTCCAGCTCCTTCTGCAAGGCCTCGCGCGCGCCGTCGCAATCAGCCTCGGACGACTTAGGCTTGACCACCCGCGCCACGAGGGCGCGCCGCAGAGGTTGGCGCGGCGGGCCGGCATGATGCTCACGATGCTCGCGGCGCGAGTCGCCGTCGCCGTCGCCTGTAGCGGAGGCGCTCTTGAAGCGCGCTCGGAACCGCGGGGCGTCAGGAGCAGCAAGTAGGGTGCCACCGCGGCGAGCGCCCCAGAAGAGGCGCGCGAGCTGGTGGGTGCACTGGGCTGTCTCCTTCACGATCTCCTCGCGGCATCTGGCGGCCTCGATTAACGAATGTTTCCTGAAGGCCGCCGTAACGGAGGTGCCCGTGCAGAACAGCATCAACTCCCTCTGGGCGTGCACCGAGCGGCCTGCGATCGCGCGCCGCTGGCCAACGGCGGAAGCCGACACCTTCGCGAACCCGCCGCATGCGGAGTTGACAAGTCGATACACGCGGTCAAGCGACCACAGCTCTGACGTCAGAGGCCACTCCAGGGTGAAGCAATGGCCCTTCTCGTGCGCGCAGGCGCACACCTTCGCGGCATTGGTGATCGAGGCGCGCGCCTCGCCCGAGGGTGGGGCTGCCCAAATCATGCTCTTCAGCTTCTTGCGGCTGCCCTTCTCAAGATGTCTCGGACAGCTCGGAGGGTTTTCTCGGCAGCGAGGTCAAGCTGCTCTGTCACGCGGATCGCGATGCACACGGCAGGGGCGAAGGCGAACAAGTAGGGCCCCGCAGAGCAACACAGCTAGCTCGACGAGCATCTGGCGGTGCTTGCCGCTCATGATGGCAGGCATGGCTGCGGCTATGAGCTCGGGCACCGTGGACACCTCGATGACGAGACCAGCCGGCGCAGCCGGAACTGCAAGTCCTGCGGCATCGCTGGGTGCTGCGCCAGCGTCGTCAGAGGCAGCATCTGCATGCCGCCCGCCAGCTGCGGAATGACCTCGGCGCCACGGATGCTGGGGCGGCTCGTAGCACACCTCGTCGGGGGTGCCTGCGAATGCGGAGCATGCGAGGCGAGGCATCACCGGGGCGGCCGTCACGACCTTGCCCTTCGCCTTCAGCTTCTGGAACTCCTCGCGCCTCCTCTCCTGGGCGGCAAACCCAGCGGGGTCAGCCACCTGCCAGATGTCACGCTCAGCCCGCCGCTGCTTCATGTTCAGAGACAACCAGACTTCTGGCTCCAGCGCAGGCGGGCGGGTGGACCACGGCGGGGCCCACGCTGAGCGTCTGATCTGGCCGTCGGCGCCGACATCATCACGCCTCCAACCGCTCGGCGGAGCGCGCCCTGGTCTGGGCTGGACCTCCCGCTGCATGACGGGATCGGGGTCGACGCCAAGCCGCGACGCTTCGGCCACGTCGGGCTCGACGGCCGCGCGGCCAGAGTGAAGAGCAGCATCAGCGTCTGCATCGCCGCAGAAATCCGGACCCAGAGCGTCTGGGCCCTCGTGGGGATCGGGATCGATGGCGACAACGACGTCGAGAATCGATGGCCTCGTCGACGAGAACTGGGGGCTGTTCTCCTTCAGCCTCCCGTCGTAAGCAAGCAAATCGTTATCTCCCGGCTCGTCGGCGATCAGCTCGAAGCCCCCCTCGGCGTCGTCGCTGGCGAGCGGCGCCAGCAGGCTGAGGTCGCGGAAAACGCCATTGAAGGCCAGGCGCTGGGCCAAGGGGAACGTCGCTTCGTCGGGGAAGACGACGTCCGCGACGGCGCGGACGCTGACCCGAGAAGCTCGGGGGTCCGCCAAAATTGCCGCGAGTGGAACGATCAAATAGCTCTGTGCCCACTGCTCGGCCAGGCCGGCCGCCACGCCAACCAGCAGCGCAGGCACCGAGCGGCCCCGCCACCTGTTGGAGCCGCGGAGGTCGCCCCCGAGCTCGAGGGGCTTCGAACCAGCAGCAGGCCGGAACAAGACGAGGGCGCCGAACGGGCACGCGACGAATGGGGCTGGCCCCCCGAAGCGGTGCTGCCAAGGTGTGAAGCCGCCCTTGCCCCTGACGCTGTCATTGTAGTTCGCCGCCCAGTGCCGCTCGGGCAAAGGCCACCAGCGCTCGTCGAGGCCAGACTGGTGGAAGGCACATCTCGCGCCTTCAACCACCAGCCGATTGACGCGCTCGATCTTGCCATTGGCTCGCGGCCGATGCGGCGTCGATCGGTAGCGCGCGAGGGGGCGCCGGCTGCGCGCCACCCGCGCTGCTGCCCTGAATTCGGGCGCACGGTCCGCCCACCACATCCGAATCTTGGGCGGCGCGGAGTCGAGCGAGCCCACGCCGTCGAGCACTGCGCCGGCGCCCCGGCGGCGCGCCGGGCACGGCGAGAAGAACTGCGTGGACTCGTCCAGGACGCGCAGGCTGTAGGGCGACGCTATTCTCGCCTCCGAGCCGTGCCCCATCTCGGCGTGATCCACGTGCACGAGGGCTCCGAAATGCTCGGCGGAAGCGCCCGCCGCATGGAGCCCCACAGCTGGGGCAGAACGGCGACAGCTGCAAGTCACGCCCCGCGCAAATGCCAAGCGGGCGCTTCGGCAGGCGCGTGGACAAGTGCTGGACGGACTGCGGGTCGTCGTGGATCGTCGCGTCGATCGCCGCGCCGTCCTCGCAGACACCGCACTTCAACGGGATCCCCTCCACATCGATCTCCGCGTCGTGCTCGGTCGGGTCACCCTCGAGCACGCGTTCGAAGTCACGCAGCGCCCTGTCAGGGCCGCCGCCGCCAGGGGCGGGCGCAATCGTCGAGGGCGGCGCAGGGGGCGCCTCCTCGGCGGCAGCAGCGGCATTTGTATGGGGCAATCTGACATAAAGGTAGAGGTGCAAAGGGAGGTGCGCGTAGGCGCTTGTTTCGGACGCGCCCCTGGGTTAAACCAGCATATCAAGTTTGGCCCCTGGGTAAGAAACTCAAAAATCAGCCCTGACCCAGGTGCAAAAATCAAAGTGCAAACGAACACCTGGACACCGAAATCGCATTTACCCAAATCGCCTAGGGGCCTAAATCGTTGAGCCAAAGAACAGTAGCCCCTCGCCTGCTACTCCCTCCTCTTCCTGGTTCCTCCCTCTCCTCCTCTTCCGTGTCCTTCCTCATCCCGTCGGTCCTTCCGTAGTCGCCTCGTCCTCCTCATCCCCCCCTCGCTGTCTCATCGTGCACGTCCCTCCTCCTCCTTCGTCTGCTTCCAGCTTCATCCTCGCCCATTCCTCCCACCCCCACTATCCGTTTCTGGCGTCGCTGATCGTCCTGTATTCTCTCCTCCTGTCCGCCCCCATCCCTCCCCGTCCCTCCGCCCCCGTCCCGCTCCCCCTCCCTCCCCGTCCCCTGGCGGCACCACGCGCCTCGAAGTTGGTGTCGTCGGCGGGCGCGGCGAACGACGAACGTCGTCGTCGCCGACGTGGGCATCGTGAGCCTCGCCGTGCCGTCGAGGCTCACGATACCCACGTCGGCGACGACGTCGGCGACGGCGGCAGTGAGAGGCGAGGGCCGAAAAGAGCATCAACAAGGGTGCGGGGTGAAGGGGAAGGGGGACTGAGGGAGAAGGGAATTGGAGGAGGAGGAAGAGGAACAGGAGACCATGGTGGGGATGTCGGGATGGCTGGTTTCCTTTGTTTGCAACTGCAGTGAAGCAAGAGGTGCCGCTGGCACCACGTGTATTGTGCTGCTGGGAGTGTCCTGGCGGCGGCGAGCAACTGCGCGGACTCGTACTGAGTCCAACCCAACACAGCCCCACCCTGTGGTGGGCTCTCCAGCAAGCGTTCCCCTACAACGAAACTTCGTGAGCTGACCATTGGTACAATTGTGTGTGCATGATGTGTGGCATGTGTTTCGACATGTGTTTGGTTGCTTCCGAGGTCGCGCTCACAGACTTGCACGGGCCAGGCGAAGCAAAACTGGACGCGCAAGAACTGACCTTGCACCGTTCCTAGTCCACAACCCTTTTCTTGGGAACCTTCCTCTTGGAAGGCTTTGCGGCAGAGGCTGCAGTAGACTGATCGGTCGACCCTGCAACGATAATCACATCAGACTCAGCACCGAGCTTTGAACCTTTGGAGGGCCCCGCCGAGACCTGACCACCGAGCGTGTCTGAGACTTTGGTCTGCAGGCTCTTCGGGAGGGCCTCGAGCTTGGTAGCAAAGCGTTTGAAAATCATTTGCACTGACATGTCAAGGGCGCGCTGGCGAGAGCTCTCAGGCGCGGCGCATATGCAGTTGGCCAGCGTGAGGCAAGACACGGCCACGCCTACCTGTACACACTCAGCCGTGCGATGCGCTGCGCCCTTGGTCAAGGAGCGGATCTCATCCTTCTCAGCATCTGAAGCCCAGTGAAGCGCTGTCATGTTAGCGCCCAGGAACTCAATGATGCGCTCATTGGTCGGCGATGCGTTGATGTATTTCTCCAGGCGCTTGATCTTCGCATCCCACTGCACATCAGCCTTGTCCTCGGTGATGAAGGCAAGCTCTTTAGTGAAAGTCCACGAGTCCAAGGCTGGCGCCAAGGTGTCGACACCGTACTTGCTCAGAAAATCCTTCACCTCGGCGGCCATGTCGGGCGTGACGACGTCGCGCAGCAAGACCTTCCAAAGCCTCACCATGTCTTTCTCCTGCTTCGCGAAGGTCCCGATGTCACGGACCGCATTGGTGCATGCGGTGCAGTCGGTGAGGATGCCCGTCAGCTCGATGAGGCCGCACGGCCTCCCATCCCTGCTTGAGTTGAAAGCCCTCTCCAAAGCCTTCATGGAGCGAGCCGAGGTCAGGGTCAGCTTGACGCCATCGGGCAGCTTTGCGTCGAACTCCTTTGCGACGGAGAGGAAGGTGTCTGAGAGGTGGGCTGAGTGCACCACGCGCTGAACGAACGATGCAAGAGGGGTTGCAACCTGCACGGTAGACCAGGCGTCCGTCAAGCACCGAAGGAAATCCACGAACTCTGCCTCGAAGAGCTCGTTGGGCGCGCCGTCGGCGGCGCCCTGCAACGTCACCAGCAACTGCTGGTCCAGCCCGTAGAGTGTGGTCCACTCGCGGAGCCCCGTCGCACACGAAGCGTCGATCTTGCAGGTGTCCACCAGCTCCATTGCAGCGTTCGCCATAAGGACCTTCTCCTTGGCAACGTGGAGGCGGGTCCACTTCGGTGCAAAGTTGAGCAGATGTTCGAAGATGTGCCCGACCCAATAGACATCATGCAACATGTCCTCCGAAGCCTCGGCGTGCATCGCAGATGACAGCTTACCCTGAGCGGTCATCTAATTGGGTCGGTGACGCACCTCGCCCACCGCGAACGCATTGGGGTTCAAAGAACCCCTCGAGCGACGATCACCAGTCAAGCCCAACAAGGGCCCCCCAGGAGGACCTGAAGAAACCTACACGGCGCCCCAGGACGCATCCGAATCCGAACACGAGCCCGCTCAAACCTTATCTGGCGATGTCTTACACCAGGAGGGGGGAACGTGCGACACCTACCACAGTTAAGATGACAGCTTGCCTGGCCTGGAGATCCTCTACGGTGAACTGGCCCATCAAGGTGGTGCACAGGAACTTGACGACCTTGGTTGCCATCGACTGGTAGTCGGAGTACGCTAGCTCATCGAAGTCGCTGGGGTCGGCATTGACGATGCACAAGGAACAGAATTTCTCAGTGATGGCCACTTCGTAATCGCCACACAAGTCCACCACAACGTTGTACGCGATGTCCGCCGAGTCCCCTACGGCCGCCGCCGCCTCTTCAACCTTCTGAACCATGACTGTCTTGAACTTGGCGGCTGCGTCCGCGGCGTCCTGCGACGAGTCCAAGCCTGTATCATTCGGGAACATCTCGGATAGCTGCGCCCATCCACGTTTGAAAATGTTGTTGTTGATGCCCCCCTTCACTGTAGCTAAGGCAAGGTTGCGGACGCGAGTCGAAATTGATGACACGACAGACAGCATCTTCTTGGCTTGCTTGCGCAGCTCGCCAGCGACAGTAGCCCCTGCGCTCATGCAGACGATGGCGTCGCCGATAACGATGAGCACGGAGATGTCCACGTAGGATTGCTCGAAGAGGCCGCACTTGGCGTGGGGCTCGGGCTCAGCATCGCCAGTTCCTGTCACATCAAAGTCGAAAGGGGTGAAGTCCTCGCCCAGGGCGGCCTTGATCTCGGCAATCATCTCCAAGGACTTCTGCTCCGACGGGCTCTCGAGGACAATCCGCTCGATCATGTCGCTCACGATGGCCGTCTGAGTTCGCACTGCCAACGATGCAGCCGCGGCGAGCTCCTCCCCTGAAGGAACGTTCTCCAGCAACAGCCCGAGGCACAACTTGTCGATGCGAGGCCACGTGTGCGGGTTTGAGTCCTGATCGGGCATCTCGATTCGAGGGCAGACGGCCAGCTGCAGCATCAGCGGTGGGTGGGTACCCGCAAGCGAAAAAGACGCCTGCTGGACGATCTGCGCCCGCAGCCGCACCGCGCAGCCGAGCATGACCTGGTGCTCTGCGCTCGTCGTCGTCCTCTGGGCGATCGCGGCGGTCGAGTTCTTGATCTCCTCGAACAGTGAGCGCCGCTGACCCAGCAATGAAATTGTCATGCCAGCCTGCTCTGACAATGACGAGCAGTCCTTGTCGCCAGTGAACCTGGCCAGCTCGCGGGCTGACTTGGCCAAGGAGTTGATGACGGAGTCGTGAACCCTGGTCTTCGGCCGCTTGCTCCACTCCAGCTCCTCGGTGTGGTTCTCCTTCACCTTCGCCATGAGTTTGGCGTGCCTCCTGATCGCAGCCTCCTGCGGGGTCGCCTTCTGCTTGCCAGCGCCCTTCAGGGCCACCAAGCCCACCGCAAAACGGCCCGTGGCATCCGATAGATCAAGACCCACGTTTTCTGCCCCCCCGAGCCCTTACCTTACCCCAAGAACCAATCGGGGCTGGTAGCAAAACATATGTTCCAGGAATCGGCGAGATCCAAAATGGACGCAGTGAGGATGCGTGGAGAAGAAGGGGGAGGAGGACAAGGATAACTGCGGGAGGCCAGAGGAGGGGGGAGACAATCTAGGGAGCGGGAGGAGGAGGATGAGGAGGAGGAAGAGGAGGAGGAGAGAGTGGGAGACAAGGATAATGAGCGGGAGGAAGAGGAGGGGATGAGGGCGGAGGCAGAGGAGCAGAGAGGAGGGAGGACGAGCAGGAGGGGCTACTTCTATGCCGTAGCGGTGTGCTGGTGGACCCCGCACCTCTCCGCGGGCTAGCCCGCCGCCGCGCTTCTGGCCGCCGCCCTCGGCGTCGCTGTCGCCGCCCTCAGGGCCTGCCGCCGCCGCCTTGGCTCCTCTCGGGCTCGAACGAGGCGTCCTGCTGCTGTCGCCGCCGCCCGCTGAAGACGCCATGATCACCGAGTCCTCCTGCTGCTCCTGCAGCCCGTTGTCGTCGTCGTCGCTGTCGTCGCTGCCCCTGCTCTCCACGTCGCTCAAGACGGCGACATC